GGGGAATCGGAGAATTATGAATTATTGTTAATACGTAATATTAATCATATGACCGGGGGAAAAAGAAAAGAAAAAAGAAACAGAAATTCGACAGGATAAACAGGAATCGGGGAATTACGAAACTATAAAACGGACTCTAGTGTCTTGGGAATTAGAAAACCGCTCAATGAATTAAAACTAGTAAAGAAATTTAGCGAAGCTTTCCTTTATTAGTGCAGCGTATCATAAAAAAGTCAATCCACATTGCTTATGTCCGATCATTAAGTAATATTACTAATAATAACATTGCTTATGTCATTACTAATATACTTGCTATATAATAAAACAAACTTAAGGACTAGATGCAAGCCCAAGGTGGTCCTTATGCTCCATATGATATCTTAAAGTGATTATCCTATTTTAAATATCTTACAAAGCAAAACTAACAAAACACAAAATACTTCAAAATACGCAGATTTTAAGTTAGCAATTTAAGTTGGCAAGTACGTTTCTAAAGGACCCAGCCGAACTCTCCTGCAAGCCTTTGGACGTGCTCCACCTTGAGAAGGGGAGGAAAGTCTGGAGGAACGAGAACGTCGCCAAGAAAGCTTGGATACTTTGCTCTGATGCAGGCTGATCGGAAATTAAAATGCATGTTCTGAGGCTCGCTGTCCCTATTTCTTAAATTTATACAAACAAACCAGCGAAGAATAACAAATTGATAAACGGAACGTAAGTTTTAGGCTTTCTCCTTTCTCCTTGTTTAACAAAATCGATTTAAAGGACTGTGTCACCGCGTGCGCATCCTACGTGTTTCTAACACTAAGTAATGATAAATTATTGTTAATATTTTTAAAATTCTTTGTGCGTTTTTTCCTTCTTTTATTTCAAATAGAAGTATAGTTAGGATAAATTCTAGAAAATTTAGATGCTCAGACGGCAGGAAATGGCATTTTTGGGCTTGAAATTTCAAACATTTTCTGGGGGAGTTAATGCCTCCAGATCCCCCTATTCATTCGCAGTATGTCGGCCACACACGTGGCCCACGGCCATTGCTATCCCCCTTTAATAATAAGTATTGGATAAATTATTGTTAATATTTCTTTTATTTTATCTTCATTTTTCCTTCTTTTATTTCAAATACAAGTATAATTAGCATAAATTTTAGAGCAAATTTAGACGCTCATAAAGCAGGAAATGGTATTTGAAAGGTTCAAATTTAAAACATTTTCTGGGGGAGTATGTCGGCCACACACCGTGGCCGCCGGCCATTGCTATCCCCCTCTAATATATTATCTAAGATCCCTTTTCAAAAAATACCCTCCACGGGAAAATCCTTAAAAAAGGCCCTGTTGTCCTGTATTTCGGTCTCGGAACTGTCGTATGTCGTCACGGTATAAGTTAACTGTGTAGTTCGTATATTTGCCTAGCCACATGTTATGATTGAGGCTATGTGAGGATTGTAAGTTTATCACCTAGTACTATTTTAAGTAGATGCATTTAGTGAGTTAGGTTTTGTGCATGCTCACAGGGTTTTGAAAGCAAACCATGCTGTGAAATATGTGAAGCCTATGGTTTGTGTCATGTATTTAACTATCTAGGTAGAATACCTAAAAGTAGATGTTGTACAAACTACAAAGTTGTGGTTTATAGAATCTGGCAGACCTCCCCCGCCCCTTGTCTCCTATTTTCTCCCTTTCCCCCTCGCCCCACCATTCCCTCCGTTCCCCGTTCCTCCACTTCCCGTTCTCCCATTCCCCGTTTCTCCATTCCCCGTTCCCCCATTCCCCGTTCCGGGTTTTAAAGATAGCCGGTTTCAGTCTATTTCACGTTTTTCAACAGGGAAGACGATCTTTTTGCCTGTATTCAATCTACAAACACTAAAAACAAGTTTACTAGTCGTATTTTACTCGTATGTACTCGTATGCACTTGTGTTTTACTCGTATGTACTCGTGTGTTACTCGTATGTACTCGTATGTTACTCGTATGTACTCGTATGTTACTCGTATGTACTCGTGTGTTCCTCATATGTACTCGTATGTACCTTTGTGTTACTCGTATGTTACTCGTATGTACTCGTGTGGTGTTTTAGTCACGATCGATATTCAGGTTACATAACGGATAAAACTTAATTCGTTCAATTAAATTCGTCTGAATTAAATTCGACGATAGTGCGACGTATGAAACAGACCTAACCTTTAAAAGGCTCGTGAACCACGATTGTTTAACGTATTCTACCGTAGCAAATACCAGTTGAGCATGTTTTGAAATGTATTCTTAAAAATCATCGTCCAACTTCATATAGTTGCAATGCCAAGTGACGTAGCCTCAACCATATCTGGTCTTGAAATGAATTATACTTTAAAGTGAACAAATAACAAGACAACTATCAGAAATATTCAATCACTGCTGGTGCTGACATTTAGCTAATCGCAACTATTGCCAAAGACCAAACATTTCCGTATCCCGTAGGCGTAGGACAGGGCCTTTTTTAACATACAAGCTAGGGGGCAAATGCCCTCCCAATCCCCTCTTGTACCCCCCCCCCACGAAATCACATTGTGCCCCCCCACCCCCACCCCGCAAGGAAAAGTCCCTTTTTCCTAAATTTATACAAACAAACCAGCAGGGTTTTTTTCTGGGATTTTTTAGGCCTTCGGCCATTGGCATCCTCCTATAATTTTAGAGCAAAATTGGTTGCTCAGAATATATGGAGGAAATGGCATTTCTGGGCTTCAAATTTCAAAGATTTCCCCACAGACCCCTTATTCATGTGTGGTATGTCGGCCACACGTGGCCTTCAGCCATTGCTATCCCCCTCTGATATATTCAAAAAATGCCCGAACCCCGGGCAAATCCTTAAAAAAGGCTCTGGCGTAGGAAGAAGCACGATAACAGGCGTCTTCACCACGTAGCAAATTAATAATAGACTTCCAGAGTTCTGGTTTCAACTAAATTTCGATCTAAGCCTAAATAGTCTAAACATGCAATATCAGAGAGTTTCCAGGGCCGTAACTTGGGGGGGGGGGATATTTCATATATTCATGTTCACATACCGTAAAATCAATCGCTTTCAAATGAAATCCGTCGGACGGAACACAAATATATGAATATACACCCACCCAATTATCGCGTCTAGGAACGGCCATGAGAGTTTCCCCAAAGCATTACAGGTAACAGGCATATTTTTATGAGAATATATACGGCTATCTGCTATTCGATACACAGGCTAAATTATTGTTGACAGTTGACCGATTTGAGTTATGTAATTACTTCCATCAACGAGATTAACCAATGGGAATTAAGCCGAAGTTTCTTCGGTCAAAAACAAATTTGTCATAGCCATTTCGGCAGGCGTTTCCTCGACGACGCCCTCTCTTCTTCCGCCCGCACTAAACGCCTGCAACGCAGGCTACAGTGTATGCCCATAGTGTATGCCGGATACATCAATTCCAAGGGAGTTGGGAAAAATATCCAAATTTCCGAGGGGTTCAGACAAATGTAAAAATTTCTGATGGGGTTAGGGCCCCCACTGAGGGGTTGAGAAAAATTCCGAGGGGTTGAGAAAAATCGTAAATTTCCGAGGGGGTAAAAAATCTGGGAGTGTTTCTGAGGGGGTAAGAAAATTATATAAAATTTCCGAAGGGGTTATAAAAATTTGAAAATTTCCTAAGGGGTAAAAAATCAGCAACCTCGTCAACAGGGTCTGTTTCTGAGGGGTAAGAAAATTATACAAAATTTCCGAAGGGGGATGAAAAATTTCAAAATTTCCGAAGGGGTCTTCTGTGATGGAACCTCGTCAACAAGTATTTCCGAAGGGCTTGAGTAAAATTGAAAATTTCCAAGGGGGTTCCGCGAAAAATAGCAAATTTCCGAGGGGGTCTTCCCAAAAACCGTTTCCGAAGGGGTCCAAAATCAGTAACTTCGTCCACAGGGGGGTGTGGATATTAAATGGAATGGCCCATATCGTATTCACTCATATTGGCCGCGCTCGTGAACGCCACAGGGGGTATGGGTCCAATAGCTTATGGATCGACCAATCAGGATCGTTTTTCAATCCCGTGTGGCCAGAGCCACTCAACGATGGCTCTGGGTACGAGATTGCACCCAGATATACCAGTGAACTCTAATAAGACTGGAACGATAACTCAGGTAAACATGCCCATACTTGCCTGAAGCCAACCGTGCAAGGAAATTGCACTTTTAAAAGGACTAAGGAGAGTTTCGAGGAGTGGGAAACAGTGCTCTCACTTTTAAGGAATTATCCTTAAAAATAGGAATTTTGAAGAGTTTTAAGGATTTTTTTAAGGAATTTAGGTTTTTGAGGATTTTTTTAAGGAATTTCCGAAACATTTTATCCTGGACTAAAAACGTTGGACGGAGGATAACCACGCCACGCAAATGAGATTTAAACTTGAAAGTAGCAACATTATACGCACATAATTACATTTAGTATAATTACATAGGTGATTATTGAAAATTCTCCACGCTGATTGGTTGCCGTTGAGGTGATTATTACGCGATAATCACCTAAGCGATTTTCAAAATGGCGGCCGAAGCCACAAAGAAATGTGTATTTTCTTATTTTTTTCCAAATAATCACCTATGAAATTATACTAAAACAATAATTCACCTCAGGCTCGGTGATTATCGTGAATAAAAACCTCGACTTCGTCTCGGTTTTTATTCACCGATAATCACCTCGCCTTCGGCGAATAATTGTTAAATATTCGTATGTTCTCTATGTCATAAATGTTCGGGCCATGTTCCAGTACCAATTTGGTTCCCGTACCAATTTGGTTCCAGTACCAAATAACACAAATCACACTCATATAACGTAATTGTCATCATAATATAATAGTATATGTTTCTGTACATGGCTTGGCATGTGATTTATAACAAAACTTAAAACAGCTGTGTTTTGAAACCCTAGTTTTTTACAAAATGTGTTCTCAGAACGCTGCAAATGCCATTTCCGGGATTCAAATTTTAAATTTTTTCCGTGCCTTCGGCACGAGCCCCCCCCCCCAATATTTCGTAAAGTGTCCGCCACTGGTCTTTTCATTAAAATTCTCAAAAGTTAAATGTCAGTATACAGTGGCGGCGCCACGGGGAGGACTGGGGAGGACACGTCCCCCTCAGTTCTCTTCAAGGTCAATTTTCTAATTTGTCCAAATCCGGTGAGAAAAATGGGGGGGGGGGGTACGTTTGTGACATCAGTCCAGTTATTTAGATCTAACTTGATAAATTCAGTCTTTATTGTGTGAATAAAAGCCGGTATTAAAAGATCTTCGCTTTACTTTTGACAAAAGACCGTTTCATATATGCGGTATTTACCATTAGCATATTGCAGGCACTGATTACGACCGCCGAAAGAAACCCACCATAATGGGTTGACATATTACCCAAATTAAGTGCAAGGGGTAATGTGTGATGCGGAAGTTTGGTCCTGCTGCCGAGATGTGAGGGAGATATGTTAATTAATGCACCGTTTGCGCAACATATGGTCATTAGCTTCTTGGAACGCATCACTACACAACTGAAAGAGAAAAATGTTTGAAGGAAGAGATCCATCAAGTGAAATTGTGTGTGAGGGAGGCAAATAGAACCTTCGTTTTCGAATCTCGACGGTTAGACCTATCTTAGATTTTTCAACATCGGAAATATCGATGAGAAAGTTTACATTCCAAAAGAAATGGTACGAAGAGTACATATGGCTGGAATATTCAATGTAACAACTGGAAGATTACATACGAGCACCATAGCAGCGAAGAGAAGGGAAGGAAAGAGTCTAGAGAAAGGGTCCAAAGAAAGTTTCCACCTTGGATTTGCTTGCCCTCCTTGCTCGAAGTTTTCAGCAAAGATGATCTGCACCACCTTTATCCCGACTTGTTTGAGGTCGCTACCTTGTCGCTACCTTGCCTGTGACAGTGGCATCATGTGAACGCATACACAGCAAGGTCAAAATAATAAACAATGATTTGCGAGTTGCTATGTCACCTGATAGACTCGAGGACCTTGTCCAGATTAGCAACGAACGAGATCTAGCCAACAATATTGAACGTAGCAAATTAGTGGAAATATTTAAGCTTGCAAAACCTCATAAGCTTGTCATGCAAACAGATCTACGATAACATAGATTTGCCATTATTATTCTACCTAACAGTTATTTCCATTTGTATTTAAATATAACATTATGTTGACTTCAATTTTCCTGGGAGTAGCAATTCTTTTAGGCAGCTGTCAATCAATGTAAT